AATTTGAGTAAAAAACCTTTTTCATTTAAAAGTAATGTGCTTCAGTCATCAAACGTGATATATCGAGCACTTGTTTGTCTCTTATTTTAGGGTTATCGATCGATACATAGCCTCGGGGTTGGACCAATCACTTCGCCACGAATTGGATTTTGCGTAAAACGTAACGCTACAGTATGGATCTACCACTAACCGACTTCTAATTTTTACCATGCAACCAAACAAAACTTTAGATAATAGGGATAACAGTTTTCATTTCTTGCAAAAAAAAAAAACATGATACAATGCAGCGCAAGTGGATGTTTAGGATTGCGAATAATAAGCGAAAAGGAACAAATACACTCACAGAATTTAATTTTGGAAACGATATCATTAATCTGAAATGTTAGTCTGACAACAAAACTTGTTATAAAAATCACACATTAAGATTTCAATTAAACTGTCTCTCCGTTAATGAATGTAAGGTGCTGAGGAGGAGGCCACATGAAGCAGATTCGTGTGTCGAAATTAAGCATAACTTGTCTCCCGCACTTACCCCAAACTATTTCCAACCCACATCCTTCCTCTTATTATATATCCTCCCGCACCCCATCTGTCATCCTTATGCCTGAATCATCAATCTTTCTCTACACGCTTCATTCTTCCAAACATACCACCCTCTCAGTCTCGAGAGACAGACCAGCTTCTATTCACGCAAATTTTATGGTAATAGCTGTAAGGAGACAAATCGACAGTCATTCATTTGCTAACTACAACATGATGGCGCTAGCAGCAACATACAGGCCCTAATAGTTAACGAGTCTAGTACTGTGAGCAAATTTACATTCTTAATGAAAACCCGGGTTATAAGTCCGTTGTAGCGCGCCTAGAATAGTATTCCCCAATTACTGGCAACAGAATACGAAGATGGAATATAGATTTTCAAAAGCACCCAACTGGACATGACTCTGGGCCACTGATCCCCCAAACCTCACGACATTTCCCCATGGCGGACCCTCGCTTCTCCAACAGCCTCCCCTCCTAGAATACCAAGTGATTTACACATATGAGGGAGCGAAACAACCCAGAAGACATCCACCGCCCTGAGAACCTTAAATCTCACTAAGCCTCAACCAGTTGGCTAACAACGGCTGTGATAGATCCGGTGAGCGATCTGGTGCAAAATGACAATTGACCCTCAGAAAATGTAGCAGGACAGACTTAAAACGATGAATTTGTATCTTGTATCACGTATTAAATGTAACACTCTTCTATAGAAAATTGTTTAGATTTCTTCTTTCAGAAAAGATCCGTAACTGCACGATTCCACTTCGGCGAATTAATAGCCTGTTTGCACACTACACTAAATCATGCAGACAAGAGGAGAGACGTTTAATTTATCTGACATTTGGTTTCCTGGTGCATGAAGAATAAAAACAGTTGAAAATGCCATCCTTTAGCCAAGGCATTCTTAATCATTCCGCGAGTCAGAACACTGACGCACTGATAATTCTTTGAAGTGCGACAGATAACAAGTTTTATGCATACAACTAAGTAGGTCAGGAATTAATCGATCAAGGCGGACAAACTTACTCCGCTCAGTTTCGTGGTTCATAATGAAAGCGGAACTTACGTCAAACATTTTAAATTAAAACACAACTTTCCTAAATGAGAACATGTGTCGATTTCTTGGTTATATTCTGTCATGGTGATCTGTCTACACACAATTGAAAACAAAGGTCATTTAACCCTCCATTCTGTCATGGTGGTCTGTCTACACATAATTTGTATTGTAAGAAACACACAGAATTGAAAACAAAGGTCATTTAACCCTCTGAGCTTACGGAGGACGAAAACTGTGTTAATATTCCGTATCATAACATCAGTATAACTTCAGGCATCTAAGAGTTCTAAGAGCAACATTTCTTCAGTTCTGAAACGAATATTAATCAACGATAATAGAATTTGCATGCTAGTATAATGAAAGTTATTTATTCTACCGAGTTACATTACCAATGTACACTGCTGTCAGGAGAAATGTATCTTCACTGTGTAACCACCACAGTTCTTAAAACAAAACTTGCTCCTGCCTTTGGAATAAAATGTTTTCTTTAACTATTTGTTCGGTTAGTAGAAAATTTTGCGTACTTCTTAACAGCAATAATTTAAAAGCGGTAATACATAAGGAAAATCAAAACGAACATCTAGATTAAATGAAATACAAACACGATAGACTAGTAAATGTACACACCCTACACTCACAATAAAAATTATAAATATATACATTTTCTGCGTGCTCAGTGAACGTTAAAACGCTTTGAACACTGCAAAAGGTGGGACAGACGGTTGAAATACTTCGGGAACATTAAAAACTTTCCTGAGACGCCAGTGCATTCTAACTTGAGTTCCGTTTGTTGCTTTAGAATCTCGCTGTCATTAAACCCTTCGAAAGTTTGTGCTTTGCCTCAATGTACCATTCTTCAGTTCTAAAAACAAAGAAAGCGATAATTACGTTCGTACCCATGCACGTGCTTATGTCTGGGTACCTTATTTAACTGTGTAAAAACTACCAATATTTTGCAGATGGTTGTCTCTGAGTTGATGCACTGTATGGTCTGGTATTAGT